CCCCAAAACCCCAAAACCCCAAAACCCCTTCTATCTGAAATAGATTAATAAACAGACAAATTCTTGAGAATTAATTTAAGAAATAATATTTCTGTTTTAAATTAATTCATGATTTAGAAGATTTCATTGCTTTCTCAACTTAATTATTGGTGAAGCTTGGTTTAGCTTATCTTTTGAAAAACTGGTAGGCATGTCCATGTATTCACCTCTATTAAACTTGTCCAGAAAATCAACTCTATTACTACGAGTTGCTCTCTGTTCAACTCCAGAATCAAAAGAACCGTAGCTCTTAGAAAGATCGCTCATGTCAGATATCAATCTGATGATTGGTCCGAATTTAGCTTAGTACTAAGACTTATGGAAGAAATACATCGCTAAATTTGGTGTTCTTCTGCTACCCTGGATAGGTCTTTATTCCTCAAAAAATAATCTTAATGGACTTTTACTGAACGGAGTATGGTCATAAACCATAACCTAGAGATTTTTCAACTGCCATTTGCTCTAAATAACTTAAATCAAGAATATATTACATAATCAGACCCAAGTCGAGATTTCAGATCTTCAATTCCCTTTAAGAGGGCATATGCCATAAATTGATGACAGTTATTATCTTAATTCTGCTTGGAAAACTCTTCTAATAAACAAAACTCTCTAATTTATGATTAAATTAATGAATTTATTACCTTTTAGGATCTTATTCTCTCGCCCATTCTCTAATTTATTTGTAAAGGAAATTGTCAAAGATAACATTTGAATGAATAGCTCTACGAACATCCTTATTATCAATCTTTTATTCTTAGAAATAAGTAGCCATAGCTAACTCTAAACTTAAATAAACTGAAGCGGACTTTGATTCATAATCAAATTTATAATCCCAGTTTTAAAAATCCTTCACTATCTACTGTACTAATTTTCTTAATTATTCTCTTTCTGATTCACTTTTAGTTGTTACTTAGAGAGTTGCTTCAAGTCCCATTTCAACATTGACGATGATATACCCCAGAGATTCTCTAACTTGATAATCTAGGATATCATTTTGAATGTCCATCATTGTTTAAACAGTGACTTTTTAGTTATTTTGAATCTTATTCTAGAGAAGTTCAGTAATTCTTAGGAATCTATGCTAGAATTAGAAACCATGTGTAATTCCAAACTTTCCATGGCTACTGGTTGCTAGATTATTAGCACTTACTGCAATCCCACTTATCGGGTTCTAAACTCTAGGGTGATCATGAGGGGATTCAAATCCAAGCCATTAATTTTCAGGCAACCAACCCTTCTTGGGGTAGCATCCATAGTGAGTTTAGTATCTTCTTTTAGGATATAGACCTGTTAAATGATATCCAATATCTCCATCATCTGTAGCATAAACAAGGTTCAATGGGAATTGATTAAGACTCTCAAATAACTCCTCAACTTCTTTTAAGTTTTTCTTATCCATAAGCATTGACTTTGCTCTTGAAAATAGGTCTGTTACCACACCTTCACTATACACCCATCTCAGTGAGAAGTCATCTTCATTTTGATTGAGAAATTCCAAGGGAAACCACAGAGAAAAGTCCATCTTATCCTCTTCAATCTTTTAAAGAACAACTCCATTTTTAGTGAAATTATAGGTGATATCAACATCTTGACCGAATCTAACTTTAATTGTTTCGTTAACTTATTTAAGATCATGCCATTCTCCTGCATAGTAGTATTTGCCATCCTTAATCTTCTCAATATAAAGATCGGAGATATCTGGATTAATTGCAGTAGCTCCCCATGCAATATGCTTAGATCTGCCATAACTTATTTGAGGCATTCCAATGTGACTTCCTCCGACAACAAAATCATCTTTACCCCATTATAGAGTAATCATATACCATTTCGCTTGAAGTAATTTCATCAGATGAGGATCGCATGCTATTAATGGCATTCCAGTTTCGGTGTGTCTACCATGCACAGCCCAACAATTGCTTCCAATGCCAGCGCCACTTCCAATTTCTCTAGTGTCCTTGTGCCATGCTTCCTCGTTAAAATGTAGCTTTTGCTTCTTCGGTTTATCACTTTCTCTGAAGTATAATAATTCTGTGTCTACGTCATAAATACCTATAGCATACGCAATGAGATAATGGTTCAATCCTACCTGAATTCTCAGCGTATCTTCCCATTCTTTTCAAATCTTCATCTGATATCACTATATGTTAACACATTAGACAATAAGTAAGGTTACAGTTAGTATTATTGAAGTATAGAAAGTCTTCTCTGTGAGGGAGCATTTAATCTACTAGATCTTTATCATAGATTTCTGTAAGTTTAGATCTAGTAAGCTCTATGAACCAATCGAAAGATATAAAGTATTGCAATATCACCATAACTGAGAGACTATCATAAGGAGTCCAAGGTTCAAATTCATTCCATAGAATGTAAAACTCAATTGGATAGGTCTTCATATTTTTGACAAAGTCGTTTATTCCTTTTGCATATGCTTCCAAGCTAAATAAGAATTTTTACATAAATTCAGGAATTACATTTTTCTGTCCTCTGCGCCTAATGATTTATTGTGGTGAGCAGCAACTCTATTGATACCTACCATCCTAATAATCTTATCAACTAAAACTGTTTCTGCTCCTGCAAACTATTACAAATCATTATCCTATTAATAGTAAAATAAGCTTACCTCAGACATTCTTCCTTGACTGAGTAATCTGATAAATTGTAGTTGCCATAGTCTATCTCTCGCATGCACAAATCCCATCCCATAAATAGCTCCTTCATATGTTTATGCTCTTACAGTCTTGAATCCTTGTTCCAATTCTAGTATATCAATGTCCTCATAAAACTCTGGACCTCTTAGTTCTATTTTCCCTCCAAGTAAGTCTGCTTGTAGAATTCTGTAGATGAAAATAGAAAGTAGGATTGGAACTACCGTGCTAAAAATAAAGAATTTCGATATCTTCATTTGATTCTAATAATTTTAATATTTAATCACAAAACTTATTCAACTAAACTTTTTAGTTCTAATTGAGTCCTGTGGGGTTTTGGGGTTTTGGGGTTTTGGGG